CTGTTGTCCTCCATCCATATTTTCAGTTGTAGACTGAATTGTTTCTACCTTCTCCTCTCTGTCAACTCTGGTTTCACTTAAAAGAGTCAATCTTCAGATATTGTCCAAGATTAACCTTCAGGGTGGATATAGCTCGCTCACACCGAGGACCTATCCACGTCAACATTTACCCAGAATGCTTTGTGTGTAAATAAAATGGCCCCGTCCGTGTTAAAATATATTTTAAAAAATTAACAAAACTAAACAGCCTACAGTATTTTTACAGTCTTTATTTTACAGTTAAAATAAATGCTTTTCAAATAAAGTCTAATGTTACAACTAATCAGGGATCCCTTTAAAGGACTGTAATTGCAGTTTGAATGAAGTTTTTAATTTTTGCTTTTACAGTTCCCAGCCAGAGTCCTGGTTCCAAAGTTGACCRTCACTGTGGGATAAACAGATGCTTACTGAGAAAAGAAATAAATAAAACATCAATAATATAGGCACGATTTTAAAAAATKGTCCATTCTGTTACATGAACCATCCTGGTATAACTTGCTTTAGAAAAGATGAGGATTGTGGTTAGTATAGTTGAACTGCCATGATTCTTATCATACACTTTTTTTATTAAGCCAAATTTTAGAGAATAAACAAACAGTTGAAGGTTCTGAAACTGAGTTGCGACTCCTTTGTTGTCTATCAACACAAGGCACTAAATACCATAAGTGTGGATTATTAACTGCCTACTGTGCAGTGTCTGATTTTAAAAAAGGTCAAATGAACAAGCAGAGGTAAATGAAGCTTCAGACCCACAGAAAACCTTAATTTCAGCAGATGAACATTRTCTAAGCAGGGCGTACACAGACATTTTTAACTTAATACCGTCTCAACTTTTTAAAAACCTTCATTTTTGCTGATTTTGTGGTTTGCAACCCTGCTGAGGTGTCTAGGTTCACAAAAGTCTCCCTAACATGTTGACGGGTTGTGTCTCAGGGCTCTGCGTGTGCGCAAACAAACGGGAGGGGAGAACATGCCCGTTCAGCTGATAGGAGACCTGCTGGCGTCGGAGCTCGCTCACATGCAGCCGTACATCCGCTTCTGCTCCTGTCAGCTCAACGCCGCCGCCCTGCTGCAGAGCAAAACCTACAACCAGCCCGACTTTAAGGACTTCCTCAAAGTACCGTTAATCATCTTTAAATGTGTAGAGGAAACTCAAAAGAGATGCAATTTATTTAAAAAAAATGCTTTTCTGCTTTGTTTTGAGCAGAAGATCGCCACTAACTACCGCTGTAAAGGAATGCCACTGTCCAGCTTCCTCCTGAAGCCCATGCAGAGGATCACTCGCTACCCTCTGCTCATCAAAAATGTCCRTTTATCATCTATTTGRAGTTTTCCACACCCCGCCTTTTTAATTTTGTTTACGTTTATTTTTCTGCGCTTCSTGTCCAGATCTTGGAGCACACAGCAGAAGGCCATGCAGACCGCGAGCCCCTGCGAGTAGCTCTGGAGCGGGCCGAAGAGCTGTGCCTTCAGGTTAATGAGGGGGTCCGAGAGAAGGAGAACTCGGACCGACTGGAATGGATCCAGAACCACATCCAGAGTGAGGGCCCTATCGAGGTAAAAACTGTGAATTATGTGAAAACTGATTTATGGGTCAAAAACTAACACAAATCAGCTGTGTAAACTGGTCGAAGCTGCCCTGATTGCTAAAATTAGACTGGAAAAGTGTGATTGGTCATTCTGGCCTTTGGTCCCGCCTATTCCAACATGGGTGGGACCAAAGGCCAGATTGGTCATTCTGGCCTTTGGTCCCGCCCATGTTGGAATGGAACAGTCTAAATTTGATTGACAGTCCTCTGTTGGCCACAAGGACACACAACCAATCGCTAGGAGCCAAAATTCAGGTTGTGTGGTGGAAGACTTAATGAAACCAATATTAAACTTTATATAATGCAAAAAAAAGTAAAGATTTTGAGTTAATGTTCTCTTTTTATTAAAATGAAAGTACCATAAAAAGTTGAGACAGTTTTTTTCTAAGTGTACAAATTTACAAAGTCAGCAGGAAACCAAACAATTTTATTTTCCCCACAAAGTAGCAGCCTTGTTTCACTTTGACTCCATTATTTCTTCCAGCACCTGATCTTCAACTCGTTAACAAACTGCCTCGGGCCTCGCAAGTTGCTCCACAGCGGCCGGCTGCACAAGAGCAAAAGCAGCCGAGAGCTGTGGGCCTTCCTCTTCAACGACTTCCTCCTCCTCACGCACAGCGCCAAACCTTTCTCCTCCTCCGGATCAGATAAGTTGTTCAGCTCCAAAACCAACGTGCAGCTGAAGATGTACAAAACGGTGCGCAGGAGGTTGAACAGCTTTTGTTGTCAGGATTCAAAAAAAGGTTTTTGTCCTCATGTTTCCTTGCTCCTCTTTAGCCACTGTTTCTGAACGAGGTTTTGGTGAAAATGCCACCAGACCCGTCAAGTGATGAGCCTCTATTTCACGTCTCCCATATCGATCGGGTCTACACGCTCAAAACTGAAACTTTAAGCGAGAGGTATGCCAATACACAGCTTTAAATCTAATCAATCAGATGTTTTGTAGAGTATTCACATTTTTTCCATTATATTTTTTTAAATAGGACAGCGTGGGTCCAGAAAATTAAAGCAGCTTCTGAAAATTTCATAGAGACTGAGAAGAAAAAGAGAGAGAAAGCTTATCAAGGTGAACACGTTTGTTTGAATTTTTATGTATGATCACTAAGATGTGGCCATAGTTCTGCTCCTCAGCTAACAGCTAATAGCAGAACAGTGTTTTGTTTTAGCAGATTAGCTTTTTCACTATCTTTGAAAACTGTTAGCGAAYCAATTATCTTCTGAAATATTAGGGATAACAGCTAACTAACAAGCTAACATGAACAAAGACATGTGACAGATTGACAGTCGTCTTAGTGGTTTTACACGCTTAGCATTAGCTTCCGCTAATTTATTATTTTTTCAGGTTTAGTGTTAGTTTACGCTAATTTATTATTTTTTCATGTTTAGTGTTAGTTTCCTCTAATTTATTATTTTTTTCAGGTTTAGTGTTAGTTTCTGCTAATTTAATGTATTTTTCATGTTTAGTGTTAGTTTCTACTAATTTATTATTTTTTTATGTTTAGTGATAGTTTCTGATAATTTTTTTTCCATGTTTAAAGTGTTAGTTTCTGCTAATTTGTTTATTTTTTCATGTTTAGTGATAGTTTCCACTAATTTAATATTTTTTTACATGTTCAGTGATAGTTTCTGCTGATTTTTTTCCCTCATATTTAATGTTATCAAATCTCTTTTTAGTTAGCAGATTCTGATTTTTTTGTTTGTTTGCTGTGCCCACCACCRCTTAACATTTTGGTTTAATTTCAGCTCGCTCTTTAAAGACCAGTGGGATCGGCCGACTGCTGGTGACAGTCACTGAAGCTCAGGAGCTCAAGGCCTGTAAGCCCAACGGTGAGGCCTAGCGTCAGCATTTCATGCAGCTTTATATATTTGCTAAAATAAATAAACGTACGTTTTTCCTCAGGTAAGAGCAATCCGTACTGTGAGCTGACGATGGGGGCTCAGTGCTACACGTCTCGGCCCGTCAGCGACACGCTGAACCCGAAGTGGAACTTCAACTGTCAGTTTTTCATCAAAGACATCTATCAGGATGTCCTGTCCATCACTGTGTTTGAGAAAGATCAGTTCTCACCAGACGGTCAGTAACCGGCTTCATTCACATTACATACAGTAATGTAAAGTAAAACATAATCACAAACATGTTCAGTCTGTTACAGTTTTAATGAATAAAACATGCAACACATTTTTATAGTGTTTTTAGTCTGTATTTGCCAGCAGAAACATTGTTTTTATAAAGCAGGAATTAAAACTTGAGTCCAAATTGTWGACATTTAGGACATGTGTAAGTTTAAAGTAATAGCTTTAATTTACATTGTTTTTACAGATATTTAAAGCATGTTTTTATGCTGCATGGACAAAAACAACTAATGTTTTTTTATCTTTGCTACAATTTGTTTATTAAATGTGTCAAATTTAAGACACAAATAAGCCTCAGTAAAATGTATTTGCTTCAGACGTTTATTGTGATAAACAGATTTGTGAGCAGCTGATGAGGAGTCTTGGACATAAATTAGTCGTTTTAGCAGTGGCATTATTTTTATTTTTTCCTTCAGATTTTCTGGGTCGAACYGAGGTTCCAGTGGCAACCATAAAGAAAGACATGGAAAGCAAAGGAGCAGCGAACCGTCGCCTGCTTCTGCACGAGGTCCCCACCGGAGAAGTGTCGGTCAAACTGGACCTGCAGCTTTACGAGCCGAGCAAATGAGCACAGTCAGTTGTTTTACAAAATGAGGAGACGTGCGCTGGAAGTGCCCGTGTTCAACTAAATCATCTGGATTTTACTGTCCCTGGTTTCCTGTGCCATGAGACAACCTGACTTTTTATCACTGATCTCCAGCCAGCTGAAATGCGAAGATAATCGCAAATATTTTCTTATTCAACGCTGAATCGAAATTATAAAAAAGGCTCTATATTCTAATTTTTTTTTCAATGGCTGAGATTTATCAACATTATATACTACTAATGCAGGAATACGACATTCCCACTACCTACTGTTTAGTCCCACACTGCCTCAGAAAACACAACTTTACACTGTAATCCTGAAAGCAAAGGGATTTTACTTTAAATGTCACTGAAAGTGCCATGAATAAAACGTATTTATGTATATATTTAGTCTTTTTTATGTCACAAAATGACACTTTTAAGCAGTTCACAGCTTGGAGGAGCATTTGAATAAAGATGAGCACAGATTTTATTTGGGTCAAGCTCAGCTGGAGCCTTGACGTTCAGGTGAGAGGAGCCAGGAGCCGTCCTTCAGCTGCTCCGTCACACAGATGTGGAGCGGGATTGTATCGAGTCTGGATGAGATGAAAACTCTTTGTTCATTGTGTGTTTTTCTGACCTCCAAAAGAAAAGAAGGCTCATTTCACAGGGAAAAARAAAMCATTGATTTGATCAAAGAAAATACTACAGAAGGGGGGTCAAACTCATTTTCACCAAGGGCCAAATGAGCGTTAGGGTGGTCCTCAAAGAGCCAGCTGTAAATAACTTCAACTAAACATCTCATTGCTTTAGCTGAGCACCTCTAATAAACAATAACTGAGCTCTATGTGGTATTTCCTGCATAGAAACAACATTTTTAACACGTTCTCTTATAAACACTGTGTACAACTGGCTAAATTTGAAATAAAAAATGCATAAATACTATTAAAAGCAGTGGTGGGCATTAGTCCCCTAAAGTGCTAGTTGCAGACCTAAATTTCTCCTTTGCGCTTTAGGGTTTTACTAAATTCATAGAATGATGTGCGGATTTGCGCTTTCTAAATTTAGAAWTGAGTAGCGCCAATCGCAAAAAATGGTTCACATTCAAACATAAATTTTGTCTAAAGTAAAGAGAGAGCCGTCTAGTCTCACTACCTTTAGTAGCAACATAATTCATTAAATCTTTGTCATGTTTTTCTCGAACAATGAAGCCGTTTCTACTTAACATAATGTAGCTCCACTGTGAAGAAACTGGTTCAGAGCTTTATACTCTGACTTCTGACTCTTCTCGGTGACGGTTTCCACTGAGACTGTAGTGTTCCCACAATTCTTTGCGTGGGACGAAGCAATTAGAACTTCTTCACTGGGTGACAATCTAACTGCGGTTCTGATCTGCAGAACCACACTCAGCTGTGCAGTTTGTACCTCCCCTCTCTGAGGGACACCGTGGCAATAAATATTAAATAAATAATAGTAAAGAAAGAAACACGGAACAGTTTAAAATCACGCTCTTATTTTGAAAAGTACGGAGTTCCTGGTCCGTGTCCTGTAGCCTACCCAGAATGCATTGCTTCAGTTTTACTACAGTTTAAAATTACTAATATATCTGCATGTTTTCTTACCGAAGCCCTGCCATACATATAAGAAAATGACCAAGAAGCAGCAGAACTAGCAATCCACAACTATATTTTGTAATACAACCATGATTTATAAGTGTTTCTACAAATCACCTCCCCATTCTGCACCGATATGTGCCGATCTGTCAAAGAAAATAATCTCACCACTAGATGGTAGTAAAGTGCTGATTTATGTCTTACCTGGATGTTGTCTGGTAAACAGAGATAAAGTTGTGCTTTAGTATTAACGCCRCTAAGATTTATTGAGGATATGTGCTTCTTCAAGAAGAAGAATCGTTTATTGTCATTCAAACACAACATCAAGATGTAACTTGACGTTGTTGATGTTCTGAACTTGCAGACCTAAATAAATTAACTAGCGCTGCCTTCAGTTTGACATGTGCTTTACAGGCATGAAGCGAGACCCTCAACAATTTTCTGTTTCAAGAACAAATTCCAATGTTCAGAACTTTGATCGTTTCAAAGAAAAATCCATGCTTTATAGCTGTTTTACAAGAGCAGGATGTCCTCATTCTCTTACATTTTTCTTGTAGCTGAAGACTGGTTCGCTTAAATCAGCCATTTTGAGCTGCGGACGACAGAGCATGCATTTGAYGTTAGCTGGCACAACTTGATTGTTAAATGAAATGAAATTTTACAAAATTAGGACAACCTTGAAATGCTGCAGCTTTTTGACGTTGAGCAGAAAACGGTTGTACACTTGTGGATCGTAGGTGCCAGGAGACACAAAGCCCTGCCACACAGAGACCATTAAGTGAGCCGAAGGAGTGAACTCTGGCTTCAGAACAAACACGGCAGCAGGAAGCGCTCACCTTGGAGTTGGAGGGTCTGAGGTAGCACAAGCTGGGACACCTCCTGCAGCCGGACATGCGTTCCTCCKCTCTCTTCTGCGTAGGTAACCAGACACGCTCAGTCCAGCGCTTGTGAAGAAACTCCTTCCTCCTCAGCTCTGCGACCTCCTCCTGAGCCAGGAAGCTCTCCAACTCCTAGGTAAGGAATTCAGTGGAAAATGAAAGTGATTTTTAAGGCAACATTTTCAGAAAACTAACAATCTTACCTTCAGAAATCCATTTTCTGCATCCAGTAAAGGTTGGATCATTTCCTGCACCTGCTGATTTTCAGCTTCGATCTTCGCCTAGATGGAGATAAATCACAGCGAAATCCTCTTTTGTTSTATTTGAGTTTGTTATTCTTGCAGTACCTGCAGCTGTCTCAGAGAGGTACGAGAGAGCTGACGCCGTTTGGAGCTTCCCTCGTTTCTTGATGTCACACTTTGACAGCGGCTCGTCGTCTTCACACCAGCCGTGGACTCCTGACACATCTGTTGCATCACGTTACCGTTCTGATCTGTAACTATATGAAAGGACACTAAAATGACACCACATAAACAGTTGCTTCAACRTATTTTTTGATGCAAGAACAGTCATTTTAGCTCAAATATGATCACCTTAGGGCTGATCAGTATCTAACACTATTGCTTGCTGTAATATTTTGGTAACCGGAGGCCCCTTCCTGTTCTACCTCAAGCCTAAACAGGTTAAAGTGTACTGCTGGGCTTTTGGATCTTCTCATTAGCTGAGGGTAACAGCAGCTGCAGCGTCTTCAAGCAACCTGAGATGTTTTCATACATCTTCGCTCAGACCCGGAATGTTCCAGCGCTGTGCGACAGTGCAGAGACACGACGCCCCGCGGGAGGGAGTGGGAGACCTGCTTGTTGTCAGGAGAGCTGCACACAGCTTCTCTCTGCCAGCTAAAGACAGCTGATAAATTATTAGTCAGCTGCAGACTGTTTGTTCTGTGAAGTCAGAGCAGAATGAGCTGGCCCAAAGGTCGACTGCATAAAACGGAGAATTATCAACAGAAAAATGTAGCTTTTTCAAATTGCTTCAACAGAAAACACGTCTTAAAAAGAAAACGTATTTTTGAAAACTTCAAAAGATTATTTTCTGAAGTCTCTGTTAAAGTAAATGTTTAGTCGTGAGATGTGGCACTTTAATAAAACCCTTGTTTTTCCTGTTTATCAAACTATTCTAAGTTATGATCTGTTGGTTGTATCGAGTTTATGACCTACAAAATAAAAGCTCGCACTCATGACTCCAAATTAGCTGCTTAAATTATACTTAATAAGCAGCGGAATATAGTACATTTATTTCATGATGATTTTTAATTTCAATTTGTTTTTATTCTAACTTCTACTTTTATTTTGTTAAATTCAAAGCACAAAAATGATACTTCACTTAAAAATTAACACCTGTTTACATGTTACAAATTTAGATATGAATCATTGTTTGTTTATACACTCAGAAACATTTAATGTTAAACTACCAACTTATGTCAACTGGTTTCACTAAAGCCAAGTTGAGCTCAGGTTACTAAAACTGGATTCATGGAACCAGTTTGAGTAAAATCAACACTTCTTAAGCGACAGCATAGGACTTTTATTTTTACTTTCCAATTATTATAAGCAGTTTTATGACTTTTACCAAAGTAATTTTCTTAGTTAAATTATTTTTTCCAGAATCATTTCCTGTTATAGTATTTTTACTTTTATATTATTTGTTTTAAGTAATAAGCTTACAGAAAAAGTTTTGTCAGCCATCATATTACATTTATTTTTCGCCTCGTTAGGCTTTATGTTAATTTCTTTTATGAACATGATTTCTATAGGTCTTCTTGCTTTCAGACATTTAAATGATTTTACCAAAGAGCACCAAGGAATAAATTTAGATTCAAGTTAAAATATTTTTAGATAAGTTTGTTTCTAAACATAAACTTCATAGATGTTTCTACATAAACTGAACTTTCAGTTTGTATCTGCTCATTTTCATCTATTGTTAACCTGCCTTCATAAGAGGTGAGTTTTTACCTGTATTGATTTAAGGTGATAGAATTAAAGAAAGTCATCAGTACCTGTTTTTCTCTGTTTTTCTCTCCAGCTTCAGTTCTCATCAGTTCCTCCGGGAGGAGATTAGCAAAGACCGGCTCCTCTTTCTCCAGGAAGGCCGCCGTTGCCATGACGTCCACGCACTGACACGTGAACGCGCTGACCACGTTCGGCCAAGTTCTGTTGTAGAAACGCAACAGCGCCCCCTCTGGTCACAATATATGATGGTCACAAAATATGGTGAAACACCTGTGTGCCAATCATTAAAGTCAAATATTTTTTTTTATATAAAATAAATAAAACCCGTTAAGATAAACACCGCGTGCTGCTTCATATCAAAATCACAAAAAAATAATAAMAATTTTATTAAAAATTAGACATCTGAGCGATCTTGGTGGTCATTACTCCGATCAGGCTGCTGGTTCGAGCCCAGGTTGTGGAGAGGCGTTTAAAAAAAAAAGAGACCAAATAAATTTTCGTTTTCTTTCAGTATAATGTATTAAATAAAACATTTAATATTTTTTTTACCACGGTGTAATTTATTTTTGTTTTATAGCCGACACAGATTTCTTCCACATCTTTTCACACTTATCGATGGGGTTTGCTCCTTTTCTCCTCAACGGCACATGACTTGGCTAGAGGTGATGAYGAGCGGCGAGGGAGGGGTTTAAGCTCTGATCTGTCGAATCAAGTTACATAATTCACATGTCGATTAAAGTTTAGAACATTAATTTGCAACACAAAATCAAAATGCTATATATAAAAAAATAATAAATTATGCTGCTTTTTACTCAAACACTTGAAACTCGTGTTATTCTGTCATATAAATGGTGCACGATAGTCTTGTATACAGTTTATCCTCCTTGTGCAAAGCCAGTCTGAGAACCTCACAAATATAAACAGACTTACAGTATGGGCACAGGACATTARAGAGAGCTAAAACAAAATAGAACAATAATTAACAGATCTAGGGACATTCTCTGGATAAACACAGATTATCAGTCAATCTAGTTAAAATTTGTTTGGTTCCATAATAAATAAAGTGATTCTAAAAGGTGCTACAACATGCAGGGGAGCTGCAGGTCTTAATGCACTGCTGACAGTTGATGTGCTCTTRAGGTGTCCACTTAGACGCGCTCTCAGACAGCGAGTACGGGATGTTTGGGTATTAAGTGTTCAGAGGCAGGTGGGGCAGGGCTTGGCCAGGTCACAGATCGTCGTCCCGTGGCTCTTTCTCTTTGCTGAAGGGTCCAGGACGGGACAGGGCAGGACAGAGGGGGAGGCTACATGGATTGGTGGACTTGGTTGACCGCGAGTATTGCTCTGCTCTGGATATTCTGTTTTATAGACGGTAAGATAAATTGGTAAAGATTTAGGACCTTTTTTAATGTCTTTTTTTTTTAGGATTTATTGCAAATGATTTATTTTAGCTCTAAAAAAAAGAAAAAGGTCAAAGTCTGCCTTTGAGCTTTTGCAAGGGTTAGTTGGCCAACATTTCTCAAAAGATGGCCTAACCAAGTAACACTTAAACTTAATAATAATTAGAATAATAAAAGATGCATATCACCCAACAGCAAAGAAATTTGTGACCCATCACATYGAAATGAGGATTAAGTCAAATTTGGTCAAAATGACCTAATCATATTTTCAGATTCCTGGCTTTAAAAGCTACATTTTACACTTAGATAATCCTGATATTAGTAGAGATATTATTTAATTTGTCTTGTTGGTTACAATAATACATAAATGTTTGGTCTAAATCCTAATTTTATGTCATTTTAATGAGGATTTTTTTATGTCTTTTGAAAAAAGAAACCTCAAATAGTATTTGAATATTGAGATTTCCCAGCTGGAAAGAAACAAAAGCATTGATAGCTCACAGGGAAAATGGCAACATTTTAAGGCGTTTTTCCTCTAAATCGGGTTTTTTGGTTGCAACTGCTCAAAAAAAGGCTTCAAAAATATTTATTTAGGATAATATTTCAGACAGTTCAATGAAAAAAAATGTATTTTTTGCAAGCGTTTTAATCAAACCCCTATATCTGCCTATTTCTCAACATGCAACTTTTAGACTTAATCCTGGTTTCGATGTGATGGCTCACATTTATGTTTAAATTAAATCTACAGCTTAAATCCCAATATCATTCACTTACRTGAAAGATCTTAAGTTCAAATCATAATTCATTTGTTTTATCTTGTTTTAGTTAATGTGAGAGTTTGTAGCAAAAAGAGCAAAGTATTGGCGCGGTGAGATTTGCAGGCCGCCGGGCACAAAGCTGCAGACTTTAATCCAGTGGCAGACTCTGTTTGTAATGCTTTGTGACATTAGTCACCGYGTTAAATTAGCCTCCATCTGACCCGCTTTCTAACGGTCTTATCTCCAGGTAACGCCGTGCTCGAGCTGCGGCTGCTCTTCCATGCTCTGACCAAAGCGGCGTGCCACCTGTACCTGGCCCTGCTCCCGCTGCGCAGGGCCGCCACCCACTTCGCCGACTGCRCCCGCTACCTGCTCACCCATGCCCAGCAGAGCCCGCCGCCCGCCGCCTACCTCCACCAGGGCCCGCCGCTGGCCAAGAAGGGCACGCTGCACTTCCTGGAGGGCGTGTGCGTGGTGTGCGAGACGGTGCCCAACCTGATGGGCGCCGCGCTCAGCCTGGGCGCCGCCTTCTGCCACATGCTGCAGGGCGCCTTCTACGTGCTGGCCGCCACGCTGCGCACCATCCAGATCAACCTGTTCTCCCAGATGAACGGCGAGAAGGAGCGGTGGGACAGGGAGCGCACCAGAGCCAAGGAGAGCGAGAAGAAGATGAATTGCAAGGTTCTGGAGTACATCTCGGTGTTCTGTCAGGACCCCGTCAGCGCGCTGCGCATCAAGGTCGACGTACCGCCCGTGTACAGATAATCTCCGGTATTTACCACTTAACTGGCACATGAGGGGCCTTCGGACTGGTTCAACGTGCAGATGATTGGTTTGATCTGACAGGAAGCTGAACTCTGACCTCTGCTTTTCACTCACTGGTGGCAAAAATCAAAGGAAGTTAAACGTGAAGGAGGAAAACAATCCATGGTGCGTTTTGTTACATCTGTTGTGCATTCATTGAAATGTAAAGAAATGCAAATAAATGTCTTAAACAAGTCAAATTTGACATTTAAAATACTTTATTTACTTCATTTATTGCCACACTAGCTTCCAAGTTAATGTCGAAATTCTGTTTTAGTGGTTTAACTTTCCAATGATTCAGCTGATTTTAAAGTGCATTTACAACAATCGTCCAAAAAGTGTTAAATCACACCAAGAGAATTAAACGTATCAAAAATAATTATCCACAAGACATAATCCTTCAAAATTAAAAGACAAAATAAATCTACAAAATAGAAACAAAAATTAAAAAAGGAATTAAGTTATAAAATGCCTTAACATCAAGAATAAATTTAAGAATTATTTGTTTTATTTTAGCACTTAGTTTTTATTTAAGAAAATATACTGTCTAAATTATTATTTTTCTTTAAACATATTTATGAAAACTATATATTTTTTGTTTGTTTTGGTTGAGAAAATCAAAATCATCGCTAAAGCTTAAAAAAGACAAATATAGATGGACGCAACTTCATCAAGTTTGACAAAATTTTATGAAATGAATTTAGGAAACTAATGAAAAAGTTAAAAATTTAGATATTTTTCTTCCATGTACTCACTTACATTGAAACTTACATGGTTAGGTTGGAGACTTTGATATTTTGTTTATTTCCATTTTTGTTATTTGAGTGCTTTAAAAATCACACTTTCACTTATTTATTCTCCCTATAATTATTTTACGTACCTATTTCTAACTTGTATTTTCTTATTCTTTAACAGTTGACATTTTTGAGTCACCCTCTCAAAGTTGTTGTTTTTAAGCCGTCTTAACCACACAGGAAGCAAAACATCTTAAACTACAGAACAGAAGTCCAGTTAGGTTTTTACACATTTTGTTTAAATTCACCGTGTCCTGGATGATCGAGAATCTACCCTAGCTTTTATTTTTAGCCGAAGCAGAAACTGAGTGATGAGAGAACGGACCGATACCAAAAAGGGAGGTGACGCTAAGGACGGATCAGCTCCAGCTCAGACTACAGTCTGGACTCAGGTGGGACTTGAAGAACCTGAGATGAAAGTTTTCCATCTGCAACATGAGGAAATAAAAAAATCCATAAGCCTGTTTATTGGTGATGTAAAAAAAACAATATAAACAGAAAGAAAAACTTAAAGGCATAGCAAAAAAATAAACGAATAAATAAAAGTTCTCTAACTCACAGAGCATATCTTCAACTCTTCTCACAGCTGCTTTGTTCACTTTGTGTTCAATGCTGTCAGATCTGAGGACAGGTAATTTAAAAAAATAAATAAATAACCTGAATTGTATCTACTTTTCCATTTCTCACCAATGTAAGAAAATTAACTTTAAACAGAACTGATCTTTTTACTCACYCCATAATCTTCGTCATGGCCCCCAGTCGTTGGAGAGCCGACAGAACGTTTTTCTGAACGTTTGATGAAAGCACCTCGTAAGTGTGAAATTCACCTGTTGAGAACAAAAAAAAAATTTAAAAACAAGATTACTGCAAACAGCACGTTATACACCCATCGACAAACTATTATACAGCAATTTATAGCAAAGCAAAGACAACAATACACACACCTTCGATGGGTAAATAATAAAAATGACGTAAGTTATTAGAGGAAGTTAGAAAACTATCTTAAAAGATGAAGTTGATTATTGTTTTTTTTTTTTTTTACCTGACAGAATGAGGCTTGTAGCCCGGGTTCGAACACCTTGTAGGAACTGTGTCTCTGTGAAAACATGATCTGCCTCTTCACAAAGATACCTGAACATCAGCTGGAAGTAATAAACAAATAAATAAATAAATAAATAAATACGTTCATACATAAATTTTATTACATCTCTTCCTCTGCACCTACTTGGAGCTGTACACTGATATTTTATGGCAAACCAGTGTCCCCACATAGACTTTTCACTACGGACACATTCAGCTTGTTACATTAAATTAATGATTTTATACTCTTTTTACTTTTCAACAGCATGAAATTGTACAGAAAGTATGAAACCGGACTATTTAATCTTAAAGGAATAATTCGAATTAAAGGTTCAAAAAGCTATCTGTAACAGGTAATACAGCGGGTAAATATTGAACACGTCACCATTTTTCTCAGTAAATATATTACTAGAGGTGCTAATTACATGAAATTTTCACCAGATGTCGGTAACAACCCAAGTGATCCATACATACAAAGAAATCAAACCATAAATGTCCAGAAATGAAGTTATTTGTAATAATGTGGAATGGCACAGGGAAAAAGTATTGAACACACTTCCTTGTACAAAAGCCTTTGTTGTCAATGACAGCTTCAAGACGCCTCCTGTATGGAGAAACTAGTGGCATGCATTGCTC